TGAAAATCACTATTGATGATCACAAACTTGGGACCTGCTCGACAATTTTAAGACTTTCCAGGCAGGGCACCACATAATTGCAATTATTCTTTCTGTGAGGACTCTTTTGCCTATCTTTGGTGGTGGATATCATGAAAATTATATTTTTTTCTCAACAGCTTTTGCTAGTGTTTGTGTATTTAATGTGTGACCTGAGACGATTATTTTTCATCCAGTGTGGCCTGGAGAAGCCAAAAGGTTAGATACTAGAACATCAACTCATAAATGCAGACAGAATGACAATCAATCAGCATATGACAATCATACTTGAATTAAGCAAGAACTGTCAGCAAATGCTAAAATTGGTAGAAGTTACTATGTAACTAGATATTTGCATAGTCTCAAAGCATATCACCATTTGATAGTAATGATTTAATAATTATTTGTTATGGTTTGAATATGAAATATGCCCTACAAGTTCATGTGTTGAACACTCAATCAGCTGATGATGCTGTTTTGGGAAGTGGTGGAAACTTTAGGAGGTGAAGCTTAGCTAAAGAAGTCATTGGAGGCATGCTTTTGAAGGTATTTTATAGTTCCAGAGTCCTTGCCCTGCTCTCTGCTTCCTGTCTGCCATGAGGTAAACAGCCTCCTCCTTTACATGCTCCCACCACCATCAGGTTCTGCCTCATCATCAGCACAGAATCAGTGCAACCAAGAACTGTTGACTGAATCCTTTGAAACCATGAGCCAAAATAAATCTCACTTCTTTTAAGTTGTTCTGTCAAGTATTTTAGCACAGCAGTGAAAAAAGTAACTAGTATACCACCTTAGCTAGGTCTTCAGCAGTGGGACAAACCAGCATTACATCTCCAGGTTGCGCTGAGAACACACATTACTGTGGAATTCCTGTCAGATGTGTAAAGCTTGAATCTAACATGAGACAAACCCAAACTGAAGAGCATTATTCAAAATAAGGTTGAGGTTGTAGTTCAATGGTAGAACATTTGCCTAGTATGTGCTTAGTTGCCTAGTACATACACACACACACACACTGTCTATACTATCCAAATGTCAGTGTCTTGTTTTAAAGAAGGTTGAAGAGAAAACTTGACAACTAAATGTAATAAGGGCTTTAGGAGCATAAAGGAAGATCAGGGTTTTGTTGTTTTTAGACAGGGTCTCATATAGTCCAAGCTGGCCTCAAACTTTGTATGTAATCAGGGATAACTGTGAACTTCTGATATTTCTGTCTCTGCCTCCCAAGTGCTGGGATCACAGGCATGTGCCACCATGCCCAGTTTATGCAATGGTAGAGATTATAACCCAGGGCCTTATGCATGCTAGGCAAGCACTTTACCAACTGAGCTACATACTCAACCCAATGTTAGTTTCCTCTGATAGTTACACTAAGGCCATGCAAACAGATATTTGAGGGGAATATATGCATATATGTAGAAGCAAAAAGACAATCTCTGAAACACTATCAAATGGTTCGCAGAAAAATGCATATGTGAAGAAAGAACAAAGTGAACAGGACAAAATGTTAATATTTAGGGAATCCAAGAAATGGGCAAATAAGGAAGTTTTGTCAAAAAAACTAAACAAAACAAACAAACAAAAACACTTCAAACCTGAAAAAGGGAAGGCTGCATACCCCCTGGATAGACGACTTCCAAAATGTAGCTACAGTCCCTGAACTGTGGTTGGAGCCACACACCCCAGCCCATGGTCCTGAAGGCCTTTCCTCCTACCCTTCTGTATGTGTGCCAACAGAAGTAAAGAACTACCCCTATGTTCCTAAGCTTCTCTCTGGCATAGAGTAACAGTATATTAGCCTATTGGGGTTGCAGTTGTTTGGGTTGGGGTGGGGGTTCTTGAGACAGTATCTCATGTATCTTCTGAGCTAGCCTTGGATTCTGCATCTTCCTGCCGCTGCCTCTCAAGTGTTTGGACTTTTGGGGTGCACCGTCATGCTGTACCAACTGGAGGAGTGTTTATAGTTCCTTTGAAGTCAATTAAAAATTCCTATTCAAGCCAGGCGTGGTGGCACACACCTTTATAATTCCAGCACTCGGGAGGCCGAGGCAGGTGGATCTCTGTGAGTTCAATGACAGCCTGGTCTACAAAGTGAGTTCCAGGACAGCTGGGGCTACAGGGAGACCCTGTCTCAAAAAGACAAAAAAAAAAAAATTCCTATTCAAGGGCAAGGGGAATCGCCTTGAACTGCAGCAAAGGGACTTTTCCTGCATCAGGCTTTGTGAAGATGTATGATGTTCACAGGAACTAGAATGGAACTCTTTCTGAATATGCCATGATTACATGACTGGCTAGTTTTGTTGTTTTTGATTTTTGGGTTTTTTTCTTTTTCTTTTTTTTTTTTTTGTCTTTTTGAAGCAGGGTCTCCCTGTAGCCCCAGCTGTCCTAGAACTCACTATGTAGACCAGGCTGGCCTTGAACTCACAGAGATCAGCCTGCCTCTGCCTCCCAAGTGCTGGGACTACAGGCGTGCATCACCACACCCAGCTAAAACGTGTAGCCCAGGCTGGCGTCAAACTCCAGATCCTCCTGCCTCTGCCTCCTTCAAAATATCCTACCAGTGAGCGCCACCACTGAGTTCTGTGCATTTCTTATAATAGATCTTAATCAAATTTAGACCCCCTTCCCCATCCATGCCCCTCACAGCTTCCCCCACCAGATTTCATGCATTCTGTCATATATGTTAAGTCCTATCCAGTCAAGCATTTGTACCCAGATGTCCCTCAGTGCAGTTCATCCACTGGAGTCTAGTCAGCCTATCTAGAATTGCTCCCTTAAAGATCTGCTCTCCCTTGGGGCTGGAGAGATGGCTCAGCGGTTAAGAGCACTGACTGTTCTTGCAGTAGACCCGGGCTTGAATCCCAGCACCCACATGGCAACTAACAACTGTCCATAACTCCAGTTCCAGGGTACTCTGAAGCCCTCTTCTGATCTCCAAGGCATTGCACGACACGGGTGCACTCACATACATGCAGGAGATACACTCATGCACATAAATATAAAAATAATGCCAGGCATGGTGGTGCACACCTTTAATCCTAGCGCTCAGGAGGCTGAGGCAGGTGGATCTCTGTGAGTTCAAGGCCAGCCTGGTGTACGTAGCAAGTTCCAGGATAGCTGGGGCTACAGAGAGACCGTCTCAAAAAGACCAAAAAAATAAATAAAAATAAAAATAAAAAACTATTTCTTTAAAAGATCTGCTCTCTCTCTCCCTGCAATAATAAGTTGTCAATAGTTCCTCAGCTAAGGTTGGGGACTACTGCCCATTTTCCCAGTTCTATGCTGGGTTTTAGTCTGATGGAGTCAGCATAGGTCTGTGCATGCTGTTGCCATTGTTGCAAGTTTATATGCACAAGTTCCCAGAGGCCTGAAAGACTCTGTTTCCTTATGGTCATGTACCAACTCTGGCTCTTATAATCTTTCTGCTCCCTATTCTGTAATGATCCCTGAGCCATGGTGGGTAAGGTTTAATATAGGAGTCCTAGCCAGGGACACACACTATGCAATCTCTTGTTCTCTAAAATTTGGCTTTTTGTATGAGGAAACTTCACTGGTGAAAGTTGAGGGATGTATTAGTTCTCTCTCTACCCCTTATTCTGCTGTTTCATGAGTCTTAGGTGTAGAATTTCCACTGTAGATGTGTCACTTAGGATTGGGCATCTCTCAGACACATATTCTCTGTGTCACCAGGTATAATAGTCTCCATCTGTTGCAAAAAGAAGCTTCTTTGATGAGTGGTGCATGACATACTTGTCTGTAAATATAAGGATCCATATTAAGCATACAATAAGAAATTTCATTTGTCTAGAGATGACATAGATAGGGTTTTCTCTAGGATCTCCAGCCCTGTGTATTTGACTGTATTTACAGTGCCACCCATGAGTTCCCTCCCATTGAGAAGGTATTAAGTCCAATTAGATAGCTGTTGATTACCCCCCAGATAAAAGTGCCACTACTGCCCCGATAGTGGTAGTTTGCTGTGCCAGTCATTGTGGCTATTAGGCTTTATAGCTGGTTTGGACCATTGATTGATTTTTCTCCCTTAGCAGCTTGCATAGTATCCTCTAGAACTGTGACAGCTAATCTTCAGGGAGGAGGCTTCCAGGTCATTTCTAGTTCCATTGCTCCAAGTACTGTGTCTGAAGTATGCCCTGTCTTCATCAATAGGGTCTTACCTTCAAGTTCTGGGAGGTAATCAAGGACTGTGGCAATAGCCTATGTTATTTTGGGAGATATGTTCTCCCTTATTTGCAGATCTTAGCAACAATCCCTTATATGTGAGTATATATCCTGATGTAACATCAGGGGCCAGGAAAATGGAAAGGAACCATGGAGGTAAAGGGAAAGAGCCTCGGAGATGGGGATAGTAGGAAACAGATACTACCAAGGGGGGAATGGGGAAAATGGGGATATTCAGCTGGGCAGGGAGGAGGGAAGGAATACAAGGAAACATGGGGGTAAAGGGCTTCCTTTGAGTAAACAGATGTTACTCAAGAGGGGGATAATAGGAGACATGTATTATTAAGGGGAAAATGAGGGTACATAAACTGGGGAGGGAGGAGGGAGGTTATATAAGGAGAGAGAGAGAGAGGAGAGATAAAGCTTGGGTGGTGTGAAAAGCCAGAGGGAAATATATTAACTCAAAAAAATCCTGAAAAATACATATACAATATCAGAACATGAGTGCCTGTGTATACCTGAAAGCTATATAGCAAAAAACATACTGCCAGATAGTTTTATACTTCTTAAGTAAATGAGATGATCAAGGACTCCAGAAAGACATGGCTCCTGTTATAGAGCATTTTCTGCATGCCAGGCATACTGTGAAATGCTTCCTGGAAACTTAAGCCCCAGGGGGCATCATGGGCATCCCATCTCACCCAAATGAAGACCCAGGCCTTGTCTGACACCAAGATAAATATTTCCCCCAATCAATCCATAAGTATTACTTCACCCGAAACAACAGCACACTCAAGCCCATGGAAAAAGGAAGGTAAGATGTCTTCTTAAATTTGAAATGTCATATACTTTATCTCTGCTTTATCCAAGATTTACCACATATCAATGTAGATAGCACATATTTAATGAGAGTGAGACAGTGGCATTGTTGTGACTGGGCTTCTCTGGGGCCAGCCTGGTCCCATGCTGGAAGATAACTTTGGGTTGTACTCTTCTGTAAGGTGTTAACCTTGCAAATGGGCTTTTGCTCCTGTCTAGATTCTTCTTACCATGATGTAGACTCACACAAGGACCTACATATGATTCTATCAAAGTCTGTATCATCTAGAAAGAGCAGGTAGAGGAAGAATTGGTGAAGGTTTGAAGTATGTTATTAAAGGGGGACAAACCCTTTGTCCAATAAATGCCAGACTAGTAACATTTTCTTTAGACACTGATTTATAGCTAGAATAATGTGGTGTTCATTACATAGGAGATTCGGGAAGGGCCAATAGCCACATGATAGAATGTGATACAGTGGTGAGGGGTGTAAGAAAATGGCATTTGGCTTTAATTCCCTCTTTAACCCCAAAGAGGAAAGAGGACAGGGACTTGATGTTGACCCACATCACTCAAAGGACTCCTCACTGTTGCACCCTGAAGTTGGTCAGTTCCACTGCCCCCATTTTCCAGATGGGAAAATTGAAACAGAAAAGACAGCAAGAGCTTAAAGCTACCAGGTAGGACAGAGAAGCAAGGAGGAGGTGGTCATATGTCCATCCATCACTCAAATGGGCCAGCAAGCTAAGCTGCATCTTGCTGATTGAACTGTCCCTTCTTGAACATTGTCAAAAGGGAACATTCAAGCTGTGACACTCTCTGCCTTCTTCCTACTACCTGTGTGTGTCAACAACAGCAATACACAGGCAAGGAAAAAGGACAGATGCAAGCAACCTCTGCTTCCCAGGAAAGACAGACAGAAAACATATCCTGAGATCCCCTCCACTCCACACACCTTCAACCATAGGATCTGTGGGGTTAAAGCATGGAGATGGAGTATGCCTCGACTGAAGACCTGTAGGTCTTGTCCACCTTCAAAGCCTCTATCTTCTTGCATGGACTGTAGGCCTCCTGCTTGGGGCTCCCTCAAGTAAACATTCCTAGCTCTTGGTCACAGACTTCCCAAACAAACAAAAATCACATACTGGCCATCTTTAAGCAGGGCACTTAAGCAACAGAACAGACCTCCAGGGGCAAATTAGGTTCCCCAAAATGCTACATAGGTCAACTATAACTAACTCACTTGCTTGACTATGAACCTCCCCTAGGGACTTACAGCTATGCAAATAAGGAGGCTGAGACATCCTCCTTAGGCTGAGTTCTCAGCAGCCCAGCTCAAAGCACCAGGATAAAGTAGGATAGGCAGGAGCAGGTGTATCAGTCAAGAAAATCTCTATAGCCCCCCTTCTCTCCCTATTATACAAAAAGGGTAGGGAAATACACAGGACTGACACACTACAGAGGATGAAGATGACCCTCAAGATAGTGAGGGAGGTCCATGGGACACCATTGTGAGCAGCCCCAGTTAGGGCAACCTGAAGCCCCTAAAGAGCCAAGGTGCTAGGAGGGATGGGAGCCTACAGTAGAACTCAAACCATCCATGGAAGAAATAAAACTCAGTTGAGAGACATCCTCTGGTCTCACTGGCCAGGCCTCTGAAGGCTCTGAGGGTCTCAGTCTGATCATTTGCCAGGATAGCCTGGACAGGAGCAGGACTATCTCTAGGGCCCAGAAGGGTCTAAAGGCCTTGAGGGCTCTGCCACAGGACAGTGACTCCCCCACTCCCCAAGGGAATCACACCCAGGCTCCCCCACTCAAGGAGTCCTACAGTGGGACAGAGGCATCATCTTGACCCCTTACAGAAGCAGTTAACAGCCAGATACAGACACTCAAAGTCCCAGAAAGCACCTGGGTGGACACTAGTCACCCCTTCTGAGGCAGAAGGGGGTAAAGAGGCCCAGAGGATATACCCAGGGATCTCCAGAGTAGAGTGAACACCTGTATGGTAATACCAGCAGGATAAGAGCCAGAGGGGCAGATATGGTGCCTGGTACTCTCCTCCAGTGTTCTAAGCATCCACATCCAGATCAGGCTCCTGGAAGAGTGACTGTTTCCTCAAGTTGAGCCGGGCACACTTGGGGCATGTAGTTGAGTTGTCGTAGTAGCAGTCCCTGAGGGTAGAAAGACAGGCTGGGTTCTGCACATTAAATTCTACTACTTCCTAAGCTAGCTTACCCTTCTGCAAGTAGGCAATCAAGTTCATAGATTTTCAAAACCATAGGGCAGAAGCAGAATCTATATCCTGGTATGATTGATCTCAAAGCCTAGTATGTAGGTACCAGTCTTTGCTAAAAGGTCAGGCTCCCAGGAATCAAACTTAGGCTCTAAGCTATTTATTTGTTTGTTTGTTTATTTGAGGAGGGGGGCACATGCATGCCACAGCACACATCTGAAAATCAGAGGACAACTTGCTAGAATTGGTTCTCTCCTTCTACCATATGGGTTCCAGGAATTGAATCCAGATTTAGCGATAAGCACCTTTACCCAATGAGCCATCTTGCTGGCCCCCTGAACTCTTGCTTACTCAATTATTATCATCACTTATTACTACTATAAATCTTCTACCCATGGTTCCCAAATGGTGTGTCAAGGCACATCAGGGCTCTGGACTTTGTTTTCTAGTTTGTTTGTTTGTTTGTTTGTTTGTTTTCCCCTACAATCTCTTATTTATTTATTTATTTATTTATTTATTTTATTTGGTCTTTTTGAGAAAAAGTCTCCCTGTAGCCCCAGCTGGCCTGGACTTGCTATGTAAACCAGGCTGGCCTTGAACTCACAGAGATCCACCTGCCTCTGCCTCCCAAGTTGTGGGATTAAAAGCATTGCACCACCACACCTGACTTTCTCCTGTAAATTTTTGAAGAGAATACAACAGTATTTGACATCTGTCACACACTGCACAAACTACTAGCTCAAAGGAGTTTACCGCTTCAACATGAATTATTGTCATAGCACTTGTGATAATCTAGTTTTGAAGAACTGGGATTTTTGTAGTCATTATGATAAACAGCAAATGCTAAGCAAAAACCAGTGTGGAAAGAAATGAGGGGAAGTTGTATTCAATTCCAAGGCCAAGCAGGGGCACATACATCATTAGTAAAAAAAAAAAATGCATTTATTGCAGAGTGAAATTTAAATGTTTTTCTTCTAATTTATGTATTTTTTTTCCAAACAGCTACTGAACCTTCAGGATATAAATTTTTATAACATTGTTTGAGCATAAGTACTTAATAAACAAGTGTTAGATATTTATTTTGACCTAGGGATACTCTGAAATAGTTAGAGACACTAAAAATGCTAAGAGCAAGAGAGTTTGGTTACATCTGTCCTATACTGAACCAGCAAGAATGACTTTGGTGCAGGTGCCGAGCAAAGCAGGGGGTGAACTCTGTGAGCAAGTCAGGGCCAGGGACTTCAGAGGCTAGTCTAGGATATTCTAGGCTGCAGTGACCCAGCCCAGGTGTTCATTCCTAATGAAACTTAAAAAAAAAAGTGTGTGTGTGTGTGTGTGTGTGTGTGTGTGTGTGTGTGCAGAGATCAGAACAGGGCATCAAATCCCCTAGAGCTGGAGTTATAGGCTAGTATGATCAGTCTGATGTGTGCTGAGAACTGAACTCCAGCCCTCCTCATAAGGGCAGCAAGTGCTCTTAACTGTGGAGCCATCTCTCCAGCTGCAAGGAAGATTTTTTTTGTTTTGTTTTTGGTGCTTGGGGTTTTGTTTGTTTTTTTCAGTCAGGGTCTCATATACCCCAGGCTGGCCTCAAACTTGCTATGTAGGATGACTGAATTTCTGACCATCCTGCCTCTACCTTCCAAGTGCTGAGATTACAGGATTGTATCACTATGCCTAGTTTTATGCAGTACTATGGATCAAAAGCAGGGTTTCATTCATGTTAGGCTACATTCCAAGTCCCTTAATGGAACTTGTAATTTAGACACAGACATCAGGGCCTAACTGCAGCAAAGGACTCTGAAGATCAGATAGCAAAAGCCCAAATGTCTGTCTCCCTCTCTCTCATTAGCAGCAGTGTCCATAAAACCAGATGCAGCTAAGGATAAAGTAAGGCACCCCACTTAGAAAGCAGAAAGGAGCCTAAGAACCTAGCCTAAGGGTGAGTCAGGCCATACCCACCTGTGGAAGACAGCTGAACAGTCAGTACACACAGATGTGTGGCTGTCAAATGGGAATAGCACATCACCTTCTCTGCAGAGTTCACACACAAATCCCTTGGCTTGGCACCGCTGTTGGGAAGGGAAACAATGTGGGGAAGTAAGCGCTAGCTCAGGTCAGGGATATATTGGCCAATCCTGGCCCTCAGGACTGAGGGGAGGGCACACAGAACAGCTAGGGGTCTCCTCTAGATAGAGCCATGACCACAGAATGGGCAGAGAGACCCACCTCACAGTCCAGCTTGATGTGCTTGGCGAAGAGTGTGTGGATCTCAGTGAGTGAGCAGCTGAGGCGGCCCATGTGCACATCTAAGAGGTCCTGAATGGAGTACATCTCATCGTTCTCCACAAAATGTTGCCGATCCTGAAGCTGCCAAGACCCAGCAGCTGTGACTCCAAGTGCAGGGCAAGAGTCCCCCACTCCCCACCTTAAGTGTCTGAGAATATTTATTGAACAAAGCAATAGGTGAGCCCCCAAACTTGAGTTTGGCGGCTGGGCAGGAGAGATGGCTCAGTAGTTAGAAGCACTGGCTGCTCTTACAGAGGACCCAGGTTTGGTTCCCAGCACCCACACAGCAGCTAGCAATTGTCCTTAACTCCAGTTTCAGGGGATCCAACAACGTCTTCTGTCCTCTGCGTGCATTGCATGACATGGGTGCACTTACCTACGCACAGGCAATATATGCATACACATAAAATAAAAATAATAAATAAATTTTTTAAAAAATTAACTAATTAGGGCTGGAGATGGCTCAGCAGTTAAGAGTACTGGCTGTTCTTGCAGAGGACCTGGGTTCAATTCCCAGTACCCACATGGTAGCTAGCTACCATCTGTAACTCCAGTTCCAGGGAATCCAACATACTCTTCTGACCTCCACAGGCATTGCATGACACAGGTGCACATACATGCAGGCAGTACACTCATACACATAAAATAAAAATAATAAAATATTTTTAATTAGCTAATTAACTTTAAAAACCTTGAGTTTGGTTCATCCTGCCTAAGGAGACTGGGCTAAGGCCACCTCCATGAAGGATGAAGACAATAATTGCTTATCTTAGTTTCCCAAACTTAGATCATCAGAGAACTCTTTTGTGGGGAGAATATCTGATAATTTATTATAGACCTGGTGTTCCCTGAACAGAGCTTGGAAGACTGATAGAATCAGAATATATATAGCTAGTAAGCTATCTGAAAAGTTCTGAGCACAAAGTATCCCATCACCCTGGCTCTCTGGGGCTGGTCCCTCTGACAATCTGACCTGCAGCAGCAGTCGTGCCTCCATAGCCTCTTTGCAGGTGATGAAGTACGGCTTCATAAGTAAGATGTCCTGGCGCAGCTTCTGTAGACACAGGTAGGCTCCTCAGCCATGACACATTGTTAACACCAAAGCTGTTTCTGTAAGGCTAAGGGGCTGGTTCTGCACTGACTTCACAGGGGCCACACTCACAGGTGGCTTCTCCTCATACTCTGGGTGATGGCAGGATCGGTAAGGCCTGGGGAAAGCGCCCTCCAATTCCCCAGGATGGTCCCACATCTGAATACTCTAGCCAAGCTCAAGTGCAAATCACAGCTTCTGGGCTACATAGGATCCTGAGGTTCATTAACCAGGTTCTTGAGATTGCCCATTCATGTTACTTAGTCCAGTCCCACAGGCAAGCAACAAGCTTGTCTTACTGTCCCAGGGCAGCACTGGGCCACATCTAACAACACTGGGCCAAACTTCTAGACAGATTCTACATCCCTCATTAGTCCCTTGGCCTTAACTACTCACTCTGCTCTGCCTCAGTCTCCTCCCCTATAACATGGACTCTAAGCCCTTTCTACTACCTTGCCTAAGATACCATCAGCTCCTGCCTGGACTACAGTATCTTTTGGCTTTAGCCTTGACTATCCTGGCTAAAAGTGGCCAATAGCCAGATATAGCTTCTGAAAATGTCTGGTCTGAACTTAGATTACTTTAACCACAGGGTACATACTGGAATTCAAAATCATAGTACAAAATAATAGAATAAAATATCTCAACAATTTTGAATATTGATTGCATACTACAACAATCTTTGCCTGTATTGGGCTAAATAAAATATATTGGCTGAGTGTAGCAGCACCTACCTATAATCCCAGGACTTGAGAGTTAGAGGCAGGGGGATCAGGACTTCAAGGCCAGCCTCAGCTATATATCAAGTTTGAGGCCGGTCAGAGCACTGTGTGCCACACTGCCAGGTTTATGTAACGCTAGGAACCCAGCATCTAGGCAAGCACTCTAACAACTGAGCTGCATCCCCAGCCAGGTAGGTAGGTAGAAAGGTAGATAAGTAGATAGATAAGATGATTGATTGAGATAGATATAGATGATAGATAAATAGATGATAGAGATAGATAGATGATAGATAGATAGATGATAGATAGATGTAGATAGATAGATAGATGATAGATAGATGTAGATAGATAGATAGATGATAGATAGATGTAGATAGATAGATGATAGATTTTGTGTACTGAGGAAAGACACACAAATCACCCTGGTGGGTCCCCACCCTGAAGCTCCCATAATGGGACAGGGAAATATGATAGAATTAAAATTGATTTCTCTCTCCCCCCCTCCCTCTCCCTCTCCCTCTCTCCCTCCCTGCCTCTCTCCATCCCTCTCTGACAGACTCAGGCTCTCACTATGCAGCTTAGGCTGCCCTCAAATTAGTGATCTTCCTCCCTCAGCTTTCTAATGCTAAGATTATCGGAATGAGCTACCACATGGGTTCTATATTTTAGAGGCTACCAGAAAATTTAATATCACTGTAATCAAGCATGACTGTTGTTAGACATGGCTGTTAACACTTTTAATGCAAAGGATAGCCAAGGGGCCCTGTGAAAGTAGTACACTTCCTCTGCCCAGAACCTCCCATGAGGGGACAAGTCCATCCCACCACTTACCCATGCCCCAACCTTACCCGGATCTCCACCAGCTCTTCCACGTAGTTAAAGAGCAGAGGGTTGATCTCTCTGAGTCGGAGCACTGGCCGTGACACCATCAGCGCCAGGTAGCGCATGCTGCAGCGAGACACCTGCAGGGTAGCTGAGTGACTAGCTTGCAGAGCTGGGGCTAGTGGAACCAGGACCTGCCCACCTTCTCCCTGCTCACTCGCTCTCCCTCCCTACCCTTACAATCCCCACCTCCAACCACAACTCTAAATCCCAACCTTGCGAGGCTCAAAGTCCCAGTTGTGCACCACTCGAGCAGGGATGACAGCCAGGTCATTCCAGTGGCAGTGGCTGCAGTAGTACTGGCCAGTGTAGTCACACTGCCGGGCCTCACTAGGCACACCTCCTGTTGGGGCCAAGTTATTATAAGGTCAGGGTAGCTATTAGGGGTTAAGGTCTGCCTCACTTGCCCAAGGACACCATATGGTTGGTCCATCCTCCCTCACTAAGGCTGCATGAAACAAGAAGCTGGGTCAAGGGTTCTATACTCCAGACCTGACTCCTCACCTTTTCATCTGGGGGACCTAGGGCCATCCCAGTATATCAGTACCCTGACTGTTCATCAGCAAAATGAGACAGCAATAAAGTAGTGAGACAAAACTGCTGAAGAGACCCCACAGATTAATATTAGCTAATATTCCCATCTCTAGAATGTGACTGATGTTATGTGGTTTCCTTTTGCAGACTTGGGATGGAAGCCATGGTTCATCTGTGCGAGCAAGCATTTTACCACTGAACCACATCCCCAGCACTCTATGATGTTTTTCTATGCCTTGTCTTTGCAGGCCCTCTGTGACAGTGGTAACACAGAGATACAAACAGTCAGAGTTCAGAGATCAGCCCTGGAGTGACCTTGGCAAGTCATGGAACAGCTAGAACCTGTGTGTTCCTATGAGAATTGAATGGATGCCAGTAACTTCCCTTTGTCATTTCCCAAAAACAAGAAGCAAGAACTGTCCTGTCCCTACTCCCTCACTCATTGCTATAGTGCAGCTTTCTTATACACCCTCCAGGCGCCCTGCCTGGAATACCTCTGGCCACTGTTCTATCCTTGCCCCCCATCTTTCACTCACGTAGAGAGATGGGAGCACGGCACTCAGCACAGCGGTAGTCCTGGCTGTCCAGTCCAGTCTCAGGGCAGATGCTCAGCTCATATTCGGCCTGGTGGCTAACCTTGGAGCTCACACAGGGCTTAGAGATGAGGTTCAGGCACTTGCTGTGGCAGCGGTAATAACACCCTATAGTAGGGAAATACTCATATCTCTCAAAAGTAGTGTGGGTCACACAGCCCAGGATGATTTTCAGCTTTCCTCCAGTGTCCACATCAACCCAAGACTTCCTCCTAGCACTACTCTAGGGCTCAGCATCTCAAAGATATCAAAGATATCTCAAAGATACTCAGGTCTCTATTCCTGAAGCCTTGCCTCTTGACATGTAGAGTCAACCTACCATTAGCATCCATCAAACCTAAGCTGTGCAATGGTGTTTCCTCTCTTATATCTTAACGCTTTTCTCCCATTTTCCATTTCAGATTTCAGTGACTCAATCCTTCCAGTGCTGAGATTACATCATGAATCATCCTGACTCCTAACTTATATCTTATGCTTCTCTACCAAATCTATAGCTAGCAGTGACCTAAGCCACTTCTAATTCAATACCCCACCCTCATCAGAGCCACTTATCTATTTCTTCCAACTCAACTTAGGACCAGAGTCTAAGTACCTAGCACTCACCTATGGTCCTCAATGCATATACAGAAACACACTGTCACCTCTGAATGCACCTTTACCATGCTTTCCCTTAGACATGGTACTCTTACTCTAGCCACAAGTGCTTTTCCTCACAGACACTGGACACACCAACCATAGGGCCTTTGCATGTGTGCTTCCTCTATATCACAGCCTTCTTCCCTAGATATAATCCTGGCTTGCTCCCTAACTTCCAAGCATTTGCTTAAATGTCACATAGGGGTTTTTCATTCTACTCTAAAGTACCACTGTACACACCCTCGAAACACTATTCCTTTTCCAGTTTTGCTATTACTGTCTGACATACTATGTCATTTCCTAATCTGGATTCTCATACAGAACAGTACAATGTTCTCTCTGCACTATCCAATATGGTAGCCACCAGACTCATGTGGCTTCTGAGCATTTGTAATGTAAATAGTACAACTGAACTATATATTCAACTCACTTGGATTTAAATTTCAAAAACCTTCAATGGTTCATCACTACCATAGTAACTGTTCAGATTTAGATGAAAGGCTAGTAAAGGCAGGCATGTTGGTCTCTGTTCTTCATGTCTCCAGTGCACAGCAGGGCTTGGTCAATTATATACTATAGATAATTCACTTTACTATGACCCATGTCTGGTTGCAGAGATTACAGAGGAGTAAGCCTTGGTCTTGGCCCACCTGTGCAGGTGTACCAGGTCTGAATGAGGCCCCAGATGATGGTATTGCACTTGTCACAGGTTTGCTTGACACTCTTGCTCTTTTCCTTATAGAAGCGGTGCTCCAGGAGGACCCGGATATTGGGCTCCTCTTCATTGGGGTCCTGTAGGGGAGGGGCAATGGAAAAGTCATAGGTGAGCTATAATACAGCTCTTTCCCTTCACCCAAGCTCATCAATATATGCCTTCCAGGAATTACTATAGCAGAGGTTGTGAGTTTTAGCCTAATGCATGTCTCTCTTCTCTATTTAGGAATAGAATAAGCAGATACTCATCACCAAGACCACACATGACTCTCCCCATCCTCCCTTGAAGACTGGTGCTGCACAGGTTTAAGGTCCTGTGAACAGAAGTAATACAGTCTCTGTTCTTCTGCTTGTTGGGTATAGACTAAGATGTGCAGTGGGGTAAAGTTGGACTCCCCCCAGTGTCTGACAAGGCAACAAAAAGGATGACCTAGGGTTCCGATTCCACTGGCTGTTGTCATATGGGCCCTGGACCCTTGGGTTTTCGTTCATAAGGAAAATTACACATCTATCTCCTTTAAACTACTCTGTCTTGGGATATGTTTGTTACCACATCTTTACTTATTTCCACTTTAAATCCCTAGGGGTTCAAGGTCAATATAATGGGCACAGTGGTAGCCAAGTAAAAAAAAAAAGAGTCAGGGCTTCATGCTGCATTTCGTGGGTTTTGGACTCTAGGATCCACTCTCTCCTCTTAAATCACCTATCCTAGGTAATACAACAAAAGAGGAATGATCCCAACCAACTTGCTTTACTGAGTGATCATATGGCCCAAAACTAACCAAATGGCTATGACTGTGTCAGGAATGAGCACATAATCCAGGACTGGTCAGTCACTGTGAGTGCTTCCTAAGCTATGACCCAGGCCTGATCAATCAGTTAAGTCTGACTTGATATCCCAACTGAGAGAGGTAATTTTTGGAAAGACAGATGGCAATGCTGAAACTATTTCTGCCACTTTACAGAGTACCCACCTGAGGGTGGATCAAACATAAAACAGAGCAAAAGGGCACAGGATTCTGACATTGTTAGAGGATCTTTCAGCCGTTGAACAAGAAAATACATTCTTCTTTTTGTTTTGAATTCCTTAAGGCTGGGTTTCTGTCCCTGGTAACCAAGTGGTGCTGTTCTAATAGGGAAATAAATAGCCTGTACCTAGGGTAATTGTATCATCTTTCACCTTGCTTTTCAGGGCACTTTCTGTCCCTCAGAGCACAGAGGAGACCCACCCTCTGGGAGAAGCCAAAGGTTGCCCTGTCCTCCTGCCTCCCACAGTGGCAGCCATGCTCCAAGCGGCTCTGTGATGAAGCAGGTCAATACCTACCTTCAGCTCCTGGAGCTTCAGCCGGAGGTGGATGAGCCTCACCACAGCATCTTTCTGCTTCTCGGACTGCTCAGGAAGCTCTAGAATCACCTGTTTACATTCCTCAATCGCCTGCCGCAGCTGCTGAACATCAGAGGCCAGGAAAAGACCCTGCCCAGGTTGGATGGCAGCAGTCAGATGGCCACCTGGAAGGATCTCGCCATAGAAGGTAGGCCTGTCCTCATTGGCAATTAGGTACAGCAGACTTCAGCCCCCTCACCCAAATGAGGACTTGCTTAAGGCCCAGGAATGTTAGCATCACATAAGAATCCATTCATGCTGCCTGCTCCTAGCTAAACAGATCTATTCATAGGCCTCTGAATACCTAATTCAGGATACTTTTCAAAAGTATTCAAAAGTATGGGGTTCAGTTGCAAGAGAGCTTGACTAGCATATATAAGCCCTTGGGTTCGATCTCCAGCACCACGTAAACCCAGCTTGATGATGCCTGCCTGTAATCCCAGCACCTAGGAAGTAGAGGCAGAAGGATCAGGAGTTCAAGGTCACTACATAACAAGTTGGAGGCCAGACTTGGCTAGAGACCTGTCTCCAAAAAAAAAATGAATAAATAAAAAGTTAAGCCTCAGCTACATAGGAAATTTAAAGCCAATCTAGACTACATGACATAAGAACCTCTCTCAAAGATAAAAGAAGGGGCTGGAGAGATGGTTCAGTCAGTAAGGGCATGCCATGCAAGCATGAAGACCTGAATTAGGATCCCCAGCATTCACATGAAAAGCTAAGCAAGCATGATGGTAGAGCATGTCTGTAATTCTAGTGCTAGGGAGACAAAAACAGAAATATCTCTAGAACTCATTGTCCAGCTAGTCTTGCTAATTCAGTGAGCTCCGTGTTCAGTAAGAGACCCTGACTCAAGAAATAATAATAAATGAAATAAATGGAGTAAAATAGAGGAAGACATCTGACATTGAAATCTGGCCTTCCTGTGCATGTGTCATGCACACACATGAGCACATACATATGCATACACCAAAAATACATAAATAAAAAATTTTAAAGACAACTTCTGGCCTGGAAAGATGGCTCAATGGTTAAGAGCATTTGCTGTTCTTTCAGAGGACCCAAATTAAGTTCCCAAAATTCACATCAGGTGGCTCACAACCACCTATAACTCCAGACCCAGGGGATCTGACACCATATTCTGTCCTACACACATGTGCACACACACACACACACACACACACACACACAAAAGACAAAAAAGAAATCTTTTTTAAACACAACCTTTGGGGTCAGGTATAGTGACACACACCTTTAATCCTAGCACTCAGGAGTCAGAGGCAGGTGGACCTCTGTGAGATTGAGACCAGCCTGATCTAAAAAAAAAAAAAAAAAAAAAAAGACAATACTTCCTCTTATCTAATAGTCTGGGTTTTATTTTGTTTTGTTTCTTTTTTTTTTTTTTTTGAAACAGGGTCTCCCTGTAGCCCCACCTGTCCTGGAACTCGCTATGTTGACCAGGCTGGCCTTAAACTCACAGAGATCCGCCTGGCTTTGCCTTCCAAGTGCTGAGACTAAAGGCATACACCATCATACCGGCCCCATTAGATTTTTTTAGCCATGCTCTTTCACTTCTAAAAAGAAAGCAGAGGAAATTATATTTGTTGTCAAGAAGAAGAGGAAGAAACCTCTGGCTTAAGAGCTAAGCCCAGGCAGATGCTAGCAATGTAACCTACAAGTGTACCGTTATGCTAGACTCAGCATTTCTGGGTGCTTTCCCCAAACACTGACCCAGAAACTCAGAATGCCCTGCTTCTGCTGGGGAAGACAGACTCAAACTTTGGAGCCAGGAAGGTAGGCTGACTCTGTCCTCAGGAGACACTTTGCTCCTTCTATATGATAGGCTCTGAAAAACTCAAGCAAAAAGGTAGTAGTACCGTTCCCTCCTCCTTGGAGCTCATTTTGTGGCTAAGAGAAAGTGCTAAAGGGATGGGGTATGGGTGCACACACCTTTAGTCCCAGCCCTCAGGAGGCAGAGGCAAGCAGATCTCTGTGAGTTCAAGGCCAGCCTGGTCTACATAGTGAGTTCCTGGCCAACTGGGGCTACAGGGAGACCCTGTCTCAAAAAGACCAAAAAGTGGGTCTGGAAAAATGGCTCAGTGGTTAAGAGCACTGGCTGCTCTTGCAGAGGACCCAGGTTTGGGTCCCAGCACCCACATGGCAGCTAACAACCATCTGTAACTTCAATTCCAGGGGAATTCAATGCCCTCTTCTGACCTCCAGGAGCATTGCAGGACACAGGTGCACTTATATACATGCAGGCAGTACACTTACACATAAAATAAAATTTTAGTTTAAAAAATTAGAATGAGGAAGTTCTGACTGAATGTTTTTGATTTGTTATATTTGAATGTTATTTTATCTTTCTCAAATGAGGTAGAGATGGTTTGCATAAAACTAAAGGGTGGCCAGGAGTGGTGGCACATGCCTTTAATCCCAGCACTTGAGAGGCAGAGCCAGGTGGATCTCTGTGAGTTCAAGGCCAGCTTGGTCTACATACTGAGTTCCAGGTCAGCTGGGGTTACAGGGAGACCCTGTCTCAAAAAGACAAAACAAAACAAAACAAAACTAAAGGGCTTTCAAGCATACTAGGTCTCTTCCCTTTTCTCCTTCAAACATGCCTTCTGTGAAATAAAATATAGAACAAGCCAGAGGAGCATTGTGCTGCCAAGTACCATTTATATAGGATATCTCAGGACACCAAGGAACTCAACTCTCACATCTGCTTCATAAGAACCTGGAGGTTAGGAAAAAGGAGGAGCCCCAGCTCCTTATTCCAAAGCTAGGCTGTCTCTACTACCCTCCAACAGACTTTGAAGATGGGGGTCAGATGCTGTCTGTTTCAGATTTGAGGCCCAGAAGACTCAGCTGACATGGGGGCTGTTTAACCCAGTGGTTGTGGCTAGCTAGAAAGGAAGCTGTACCCCAACTATGAGACAGTATCTAAGCAGGTAACCTTACAACCTGCAAATGCTGTGATCAGGATAATACCTCAGGGTCCAGGCCCTTCCCCTCTAAGATCCCAAATCTTACCACAGGGCGAGAAAAGTGGTCCTCAGACAGACCAAGATCCATCATGTGCTCAGAACAGTGGAACTCAGGTTCTCCAGGGGGCAGCTCAGACAGGGTCTCTGAAGTAAGAAGACAATATGGAGAGAGAAAGACTAACCTGCTCCCTCTTGCTGCTCACCACTCAGGGAGGTGACTGGGGACTAAAGCTGGGCAGGGGAGTTGGGAAGCCCAAAGGAAGGAGGTGCTAGGGAGAGCTGTGCACTGTTCAGCTGTCTGCTTCGGTCTGGTTGGCATTTGTAAAGGATTCTGTGAAGAATTCATCAAAAAGACAGGTGAACCAACACTGAGTGGTACCAAAAGAGTCCCACAAGATAGCATTATAGAAATATCCCAAATTGGGCTGGAGAGATGGCTCTCAGTTAAGAGCACTGGCTGCTCTTACAGAGGACCCAGGTTCCATTCCCAGCACCCATATAATGGCTAACAGCTCCAGTTTCAGGGAATCCAACACCTTCTTCTGACTTCCGTGAGCACTGCACAACACAGGTCAGGTGCACTTATACACAAGCAGGCAATACACTCTTACACACAAAGTAAAAATAGTAAATATTTTTAAAAATGAAATCCTAGGGCTGGAGAGATGGTGGTTAAGAACACTGACTGTTCTTTTTTTTTATTTTTTATTTTTTTGTCTTTTTGAGGCAGGGTCTCCCTGTAGCCCTAAGCTGTCCTAGAACTCACTATGTAGACCAGGCTGGCCTTGAACTCACAGAGATCCGCCTGCCTCTGCCTCCCGAGTACTGGGACTAAAGGCATCCACCACCACACCTGGCCTCAAGAACATTGACTGGTCTTGCAGAAGACCTTGGTTTGAATCCCAGCACCCACATGGCCCCTAACAACTGTCTGTAACTCCAGTTCCAGGGATCAGCCCTGGAACAGAGACAGCCTCTTCTGTCCTCTGTGGGCATTGCATAACACAGGTGCACTTACCTACATGCAGGCAACACAAGCATACACATAAAATAAAAATAATAAATTATATATATATATATATATATGTATATATATGAAGTATCCCAAAACTAGGCATGGTGGTGCATGCCAGTAATCCTAGCACTTGGAAAGCTGAGGCAGGATCATCACTTCCAGGCCAGCCTGGGATATATAAAGAGAAGAGATCCTGTCTCAAAATAACCAATAAAGCTGGTCGTGGTGGCGGATGCCTTTAGTCACAGCACTCAGGAAGCAGAGGCAGGTAGATCTCTGTGCATTCAAGGCCAGCCTAGTCTACATAGTGAGTTCCAGGACAGCTGGAGCTACAGGGAGACCCTGTCTCAATAAAAGATCAAAAAAATAAATAAATAAAAACATAACAATTTCTAAGGCAAATACTTTGTGTATCAATAGTTAGATTGAAGAAAAATCATTGGCTAGCTATACCACAAAATTCATGAAGCCTTTTGTGGACTCCAAGTCAACCTAGCAACAAGCCTTGGCCTTGAGTACTCTCTACCTACTTTATCTGAAATTCCTGAGTTCCTACCCTCCCGATCCGCAGAGGGTGAGGCCTATGTACAGGACACCCCATTAGCCTCCCTCCCCCAGATCTTGGCTCTGAGTTTTCTCCAAGTGTTCACTGAGCACCTTCTGTGCACTGGGACTCAGCAGTGATTCTCTAGACTTAGATCCCTGCCCTCTAGAGTATTCATTCTGGTGAAGACAAAAGCAACTGCAGAGCAGGTGGAAAATAACTATCCCCATTGGAAGGGAAGGAGGGAGAAAGGGTAACAGGGGCTGGTGTGAGGTGTCTGATGGTCTACACACACCTCACCCTGCCCCAGCACTCACCTTCGGAAGTAACTTCCTGGGCCTCCTCCCTGGGTTCCTGCTCATGATGCCTTGGCCCAAGCTGCTTGTTGAAGGGGTTGAGGTGGGCCTGCCGAAAGCGAGCCAACTTCTCATCATATTCCATAGCATCCCACCTGCAGGGTCCAGCATGGCTTGGATGAGTGCCCAAATCCCAGGTTCATCATAGCTCTTCCCCTTTCCTCAGCCCCCTGCCTCTTTCATTTTTCACAGGCTGAGGGGACAACTCCACAAGGCAGCCTCAATCATTATCCTCTCCCAAAGTCACCTCAGCTATCCACCTAGGTTCCACTGGTGGTGTTTTCTCCCAAGAGCCCCAATAATGAGGGATGGCCCACAGGTGCAGGTTTATCCAAGGATGTCAAACAAATAATCTGGAACACAAGGTCCTACCCTTGCACACAGGCTTCATTGGCACCAGATATTGTAGGATTCTATCCCTGTGGTCACACAGTAGGCTCTGAGCCAGGCCTCAAATGGCAAATGACTCACTTGGTCCCAGTTCAGCCAGGCCCTTGTTGGTAACCTACTCCTGTGGATACATCTTCTGGAAGTGGGTCTTTCTTCCTGCCCCTCACCTGAGGTGCTCCTTTCAAAACAGTGCACCCTGCAAAATACCATGCTTGTTACAGTATTCACCAATGAATCCTCTGCAGTCAAGGCAAAGGCCCATCTTTGTCTTGCTACCTGCAGGGTGACCCATGCACCCTTTTCAAGCTCCAGAAGTGCATCTAGATTCTAAGAGTTGCTCTCAGATCTGGGTTTCAGTCCTGCTTGAGAACCACATGATCTGAGTCATTCCTGTGGCTTCCTGCCCTGGGCTCCCATGTAGCAGGCAGGAAGTACCTAGCTTCCTGCTTGTCAGAGATCACTAGCTACTTTTTCCCCTCCCTGGGGCTCAGCCCACTTTGAGAACACAGAGCTGGTGGCTCTTGACAGAAAAGAAGGGGCTGTATCTGAGTAGAACAGAGGCAGTGGGAACGTGCTCTCTACTTAACTAGGTGGGCATCATTCCATAGCCTCCCTCTGCCTTTTTGATCATACAAAGGTGAGTCACTGTCAGGGTGATATTAGTTCATAGATACTGAGCACAAAATAAACACTATACAAGATTTACTATTACAATAGGAAGTCAGAAGATAATTTTAGAGATGACATGGGTGCCTGAATGATAATGTGTTTTCTTCATGCCTATTATAGTCAGAAGTAAGACAACCTGTAACTCCTTCTCTACTCCTTCACTTGAAAGAAAAATAAGAGAACTAAGCCCAGAAAGGCTCACCTTGCTCAGTCCCCATCATGTGAACTAGGGAACTACAGCCTGTACCAAGTCTCACATCAACACTCTACAGGGGCCCCCTCCTGAGCCATGTACTCCAGATGCCTGTGGATCATATCCTGCTGACTCTGCCTCTGTTCATGGTGGGTAGTAAGAGGACATAGCTCTAGTCTGTCAGGAACTACCAGCTACTGATAGGCTGTCCCTGGGTCAAAACATGAAGGTCTAAGGCGATACAGGTACTATGGGCTGATAACTTTGAGTAGATCACACAGGGTGTTACACTCAACTAATGACAAACACCTCCCAAGTGTCCTAGGGACCAGTTAGAGCACAGAAGAGAGTAAACTGTCCCAGTGTTCATTCACTCCTTCATCTTGGGTCAGGAGTCCTCTTGTTTGTTTGTTTGTTTGTGTTTGTCACATGATTTCGCAGTCTGCCCTGTACCTAGGCATGGTAATATGACTATGTTCTGATAAAAAAAAAAAAAAACATTAGCAGAAAGGTCACTCAAGATTGTTCTTTGGCCCCTCCTTCCTCCTCTGTCTGGAAAGGGTGGAGCTAGAGCAGCCAGCTTGAGCTGTGACATAGAAGGTACAAAAGAGGATGGCCAAGTGACAAGATCTCAGGCAATTCCACTTGAGCCTACAGCTACTCACTATTATGTTCAAGTAAAGCAGAAATAAACTTATTTTATACCACTACCCATTACTAATATTTTTGAGACTGGGACAACTCTGACTTAAATGTAGAGGTGAAGGCCTGACAGATGACTCAGCAGGTAAGGGTATATGCTGCCAGGCCTAATGACCTGAGCTCAATCCCAAGGACCCACATAATAGAAGGAGAGAGCTGACTCCTGAATGTGTACAAGGGGCATGGGTGGGTGCATACATATACATATAGACAGACACAAAATAAACAAATGTAATAACAAAAAAAACTTACAAAAGATAATAATGAGCCAGATGTGGTGGCATATGCCTTTAGTCCCAGCACTCAGGAAGCAGAGGCAGAAGGACCTCTGTAAGATCGAGGCCAGCCTGGTCTATACAGCGAGTGCCAGGCCAGCTGGGGCTACAGAGAGACCCTGTCTCAAAAAGAAGAAAAATGAAGAAGAAGGAGAAGGAGAAGGAGAAGAAGAAGAAGAAGAAGAAGAAGAAGAAGAAGAAGAAGAAGAAGAAGAAGAAGAAGAAGAAGAAGAAGAGGAGGAGGAGGAGGAGGAGAAGATAATGAATAATTAAATAAATTAGTTGGGAGTTGCATGGCCTTGTTCTCCTTCTTGGAAGTCAGGGAGAACCTGTATCTCTTAAGGTAAAGGAGAGGGATAAGTGTGTAATGTGGTAACACCAGAAACTGGAGTTGCTATTGAGCAAACAGTCACATCATGTGGTGACCAGCCCAATCAAACGGAACTGGGGCAGATGGTTCAGGAGCCACTCCCAGAAGTCTTTCCTGGGAATTTCCTGATGTTTTAGAAGATGGCCAGAAGGACACAAAGACAGGCACCTCAGTAAGACCAGTCTTCACAGCAGCTCTTCTCTGGCTACCTCTTCCAGGAAAAACTTCCCTTATCCATTTCCTGAGTGGCAGTGCCACCTCCTGACATGGCACAAAAGCAAAGGATGAATGAAGCCATTGAGCCATTTGACTGCATTTGACTAGTCTGTCTGCAGCCAGCTTAAGGAATCTTATCACCCTGTCAGCTGAGAGCAGATAGAGACATCCCAGCACAGTCTGCAGGGAGCAACAATTGACTTTGAGAACAGCTCCTGTTTCCCTAACTACCCCACAAAGTTCTGCACCCAGAATTCACTCTTGGCCTTGAAAAGGAGAAGCAAGAGAAGGATGATTGAAAGGAAAAAAACAAAACAAAAATCCATTTCACTAATGCCCCTGTAGAGCCCTCTTTCTGAAGCAGAAGAATAGCCACAACTTGACAACTGAAAACTCCAGATTGAAGCCCCAGTGTCTGTGGAGAACCAGGGGGACAGGGTGGAAGCTTAGGAGTTAATAGATACCAGAAGCCCGCCTCTCATACGCCAAAAAGTATCTACTAGTCCAGCTGCCACAGGAGGCCCTGAGAATGCTCCCTGGAAGAGAGGACAAGGTACATCCTATCTGCTCATACGTGAAACAAGCAAAGCTGGCCAGGAAAACCGGGCGAAGCAGGCAGTGTTACCAGGCGCAGAGAGAAGCATGCGTCCTACACTTCTACCCACTATGACCTGAATTCACTCTTAGGATGCGCCTGTCCTCACTGGGGCCGGTCTCTACGACCACCGTCACCCATTTCAGTAGTGAAACCTAGAGGCTCAGAAAAGCCCAACATCTCAGAGGGCAGACAGCTCTGTGGGTCCTTGGGCCGCGGGTCCCACTTACAGTCAGACAGCCACCTGGGGTGGGGGTCCACCTGGGATGGTGACCACTGAGGTCACCAAGGCCTTGGTCACAGGAGAGAGCCAGCAGGCGGCAGCCGGGAGCTGGAGGTCCCAGGCCCTGCCAGCGGCCTCTGCGGGTCCTGCGCCCTGGGTGCGCGCATCGGAAACTGGATCCCGTGTGGGCCAGAAGGCAAGTGCGCCCCGAGACCTGTACCCCATGCCTGCTTCCCGGTCAGACCCGCTCTGCCGCTCACCTGTCCGCAGCTACATTGTACCCCGCCGACTGGCTACACTGTACCACGCCCGCCACCGCTACACTGCACGGGATGCGCCGCCCGCTGCTGCCACCTCCGGCCAGGAGGCTCATGACACCGTGTACCCTTTCAGCTCACCAGGGCTCCTCCAGGTCTCTTGCCCTCAGATCCCTGGGGTGCTCTACCTCTGCCCTGGGTCTCAACTCTTCTAAGTTTTTTTTTTTTCTTCCCCTCATGATTGCGTTCAAGGGCATGGCTCCACAATGACAACCCCTCACCACCATCCCCACAACTCCAATACTGACATCCAGCTGTCCCCTGGACACCACCATAGGGACATCTGAGGAGCATCTCAAGTTCCTGAGACAATCTCCCCCTCCTCTCTTTGATGGCAGGTGCATCCTTCCCACCGTGAGGCCAAACCTTAGTGCATGCATGACCACATTCCCCAGATACTGTATCTGACCTGACTGCCCAGACTTTACTTCCTGGCTCTCTCACCAGTCTCCCTCTTTACCTACAACAGGCTAGGTCTATCCCTGGGGCCCTCTCCAGCTGAGCCTCTATGAAACATTTTTTCCTAATGACAGCCAAACATCTTCCCTGATGCCTTCTTCCTCAGTTGTCAGAAGAGTCATGGCCCTTCCTCTTACATATTCATCAATGCTTGATGGTCCCTGCCTCTTACATTTATACTTATGATCTCTTCCCTCATTCCCAGAGCTAAGAACTACAGACAAGCTTTTGTTTTCTTTCTTAATTGCTCCAAGGACTAGGCCACTGCCTAGGCCCAAGGGTGCTAGTTACACAGGGTTCCCAGATAAGGCAAGCTACTCAGCAGGTGACCCACTCCATAACCACATTTAGTATCATTTATTGACCTGAACCAGTGCATACACTAGCAGTGGGACTATGTCCCTCTCACCTTCAAGTAGAGTCAAATAGCCCAGGTCCGCCTGTTCTGTGATTGCCGTGTGTCATGACCATGTCTTCCTTGATTCAATAACACTTTTATTGAGCACCAACTGTATGCCATGCTCTGGCAGGGTACCACAATACATACTGGAAGACAGACAAGGTTCAGACAGACAAGTAAGAGCCAAACCAATCAGGTGTGTAATGAGCACCAAGAAGGAAATGCATAGGCTAATAAGATAGTGCCTGAGACTAGGGAGGGAGGTTGGATGTTTGATTCAATGCTCAAGAATAAGGAGAGAAAAACAACTTTATAAAAGGGTCTTGGGCCAGGTGTGGTTGTGCATGCCTTTAATCCTAGCACTCAGAAGGCAGAAGCAAGCAGTTCTCTGTGAGAGAGAGGCCAGCCTGGTCTACATAGTTCCAGGCCAGCTGGGGCTACAGGGAGATACTTTCTCAAAAAAAAAAAAGGTGGGGGCAGCCTGGGGTGTGATGGTAAAGGCCTGTAATCCCAACACATAGAGGAATAGAGGAAGGCAGGAAGATTAGAAGTTCAAGACTAGCCTTTGCTACATGGAAATTTAAGGCTATCCTAGGTTACATGAGACCCTGGAGAGAGAGAGAGAGAGAGAGAGAGAGAGAGAGAGAGAGAGAGAGAGAGAACAAACACTCTTCAAACAGCATGGTACACACAGAAAACTAAAAGTTAGGTCCAAGATAAAATGAGAGGAGACATGAAAGGAGAGAGCTGTGGTCTAGATATAACACACTGGCTTAGATTGTGGTATGATGGGAAATTTCCTTTTTCTTCAGTTTTATTGAGACTGAGTAGACATATAAGAAATTATACTTAAAGTGTACAATTTGATGAATGTGAATATTTGTATATGCCTGATAAACCATAATTAAGATATCCATGGTCCTCACATTTTCTTTGTGCTATTTTCCAACCCCCTCCCTATTTTTGCCTCTGCCTCTAAATAACCACTGATCCCCTGACATTAGTTTGCATTTCCTAGAATTTCATAGAAATAGATTCATATAGTATGTCCTTGTTTTTGTCTAACTTCTTTCACTCCACATAACCAAAACTCATCTATGACATAGAAAGTAACAGTGTTTTGCTCTCTTTATTGCTGATTAGTGTTCATGTTATGAGTACACCACTCATCTATTGATGAACACTTGGGCTGTTTCCAATGTTTGCTATTATAAATAAACTGCTATAAATGTTCATGTGCAAGTCCTTGTGTGGAGTTATGCTTTTATTTCTCCTTGCTAGTGTTCAGCAGAATAGGTAGATAGTGTGATAAGTTTGTCTTTGATTTTCTAGGAAACTTAAGGTTTTTTTTTGAGTGGTAATTGTGCTATTTCACATTCCTTCTGGCAGGCATCTAATGATCCCTCAGTCAACATCAATTAGTGGTTCACTATCTCTAGTGAAGGATTTTGAATAGAGAAGTAACACAATTTTTTGTTTAGTCTTTGTTGTTTTGGTTTTTGTTTTTTGTTTTTGAGATAAGGGCACACTCTGTAGCCCAGGCTAGTCTGGAACTATGTGGCCCAGGTAGTCTCAGCCTCCCAAGTGCTGGGATCACACTTGGGATCACACATGTGAACTACTATGTCTGGCTATGCTTTTGTTGTCAAAAGAGCCCTCTGATGTTGTATGGGGATAAAATGGATGAGAATAGGCAGGAAAGAGATTTCACAATGCATTGACATCCTCTGTCTGGCTCTGGGCATGGTGGCACATGCCTTTAATCCCAGCACACATGGCCCTAATCTCTCCCACCTTCTTACCTGCTCCCCTAACCCAATTTCTCCTCCTTGTCTCGGAATTTCTTTCCTCTTCCAACTGAGTCTAATGGATCACTCCAACCTATCTCTTGATAAAACCAGCCTCTGCAAGTGAAGACTCCCTTGGGTGGGGTCCTATCTCCATACCCTGAGGTCAAGGGCACAGTGGGAGGCATGGGGGCATGTGCAGATGGCTACATATTCCTCCCTCTTTCTGAGACAGGTTGACCAGTTTCCAGTTTTGATTTAGAGTGACCTTAATGAGTCTAGCCACCCCCCCATACATACCTTTTCAACTTGTGTAGTTTTTCTGATACTCATGTTCTTAGTAAGAAAAAAAAAGTCAGGGAAAGGGGAGTCTTCCAATAAAAAATAAGATGTGGCCACCAGCCAAAAGAGGGAGATTACCAGAAAAAGACTGGATGAGATCCTCCCACCCAGGGGCAGAATTCAGAGAGGACAAAAATGTCTGAGGGGGCTAGAAGATGCCTTCTCCTGCCCATCCTCACATTCCCAGCAGACAACACCTACCTAGTGCTTATAGATTTGAAAGGTAGGAATGGGAAGAGAGAGGAAGTGGCCTCAAATTAGGTCAATGAAGGCTCAGGTGGTCCCAGGAGGAGCAAAGCTGAGGTTCTCATGGTGAAGGTACTCAGAAGGGAAGCATGGTTTGGGACCTTTTTGTTTTGGTTTTGGGTTTTTTGTTTTGTTTTGTTTTGTTTTGTTTTTTGGTTTCTTTTTGAGACAAGGTCTCTCTGTAGACCCCAACTGTCCTGGAACTCACTATGTAGACCAGCCTGGCCTCCTGCCTCTGCCTCCTGAGTGCTGGGATTAAAGGCATGTGCCACCATGCCCAGCTGGTTTGAACCTTGGTAAGCAAAGAGGAGAGGTACACAGACTTGAGCAGAAATCTCAGCTGCTCCTGTTCCTGGCTGGGAAAGAACCTCCATCTCATCTCTGTAGAATTCATATAACATTGATTATCTGTTCTGAAACAACCATTTTCCTCAGTAGGAGAACCTACCACAAGGTGTGGTGAGACCAAAGAAAGAGGCAGGCAGTTTGAGATACTGAATGTGAGGGAACCCCTATTGAGGCAAACAGCACATACTCACAAGCAAAAGTTCTAGTGGAAGATTTTCCTCAGGGAGCCAAAGGAGTTGTGGGGGAGAACACTAGTGGATTATAACTACCCCCAAAGCAGAAAATGGAAGCATCCTTTCATCAGGTTGCTGGGGCAGGATAGGGTCTAGGAATTTCCACTTAATCATGAGTATGGCTTTTTTGTTTATTTTTTGTCTTTGTTTTGAAACGGGGTCTTACCATGTAAATTTGGCTGGCCTAGAACTCAGTATATAGACCAGGCTGGCCTCAACTCATAGAGATCCCCCTGTTTCTGTGTTCTGAGTCCTGGGACTAAAGTTGTGCACTACTACACCAGGCTAAGTATAGCTTTTTTTTTTGCAGAAGCATGCATTTATTTGGGCATATGGTAGCAATCCACTAAACACAGAGGTATAATCTACTGGAGAGTAACCAGAACAGGGTTGCCAGGCAGAGGTTCTGCCAGAAGAGCTTGATTTTTTTTTAATTAAAAGAAGCATTTCATTACAACAGCATTAACCTATTCAATAACATTTTTCTGAGCTAGGGTACATCTCTTTCAAAATTGGCTGTACATTTCTAGGTTTATAAATGAATTATTACGCTTATATAATCTTTTACTCATTATAAACTCTATAAGACATAAAAGATCAGTTAGTGGGGCTAGCAGGATGACTCAGCAGTAAAGATACCTGCTACCATGCCTGATGACCTGAGTTCTATCCCCAGGACCCATGTGGTAGAAGAAGAGAATCAGCTCTCACAAGTTGTCCTCTAACTCCACACGTGGGCCATGACACGGGCACATACACATACACACACAC